TCCGATGAGCTATGAAGCTCTTTGACACTAATGTCCAGTAGTTGTTTTTACAGATGTCCACAGATGCCTCGGTTAACATCATGTCTCTCTCCTATATACATCAAATACGTATCATATATATGTCTATGTGTTTTCTATTGTCATGGATAACGCCTGCTCTTTGTATCGACACGTCGGCTGGGTCCCATCAGCTCGCTCTCTCTCTCTCTCGCGCTGTCCACGTGAGAGCCACTTTGGGTCCTGAGAGCACGCGGAAAGCGCTCCCTACTGTTCAGTTTCAGTTTCATTTATTTTGGTAGAGCCCCTGTGAGCCATTCGGCTCTTGAATCGAGTGCAACCGTAACAAACAAACAAAAAAACAAAAACACGAACAAGAAAACAACTTAAAGTGACTATGTGTGACTGTGCAAAACAGAAAATCCAGGAAAAAAACACAAAATATTCCTGAAAAAGCACCGTACACCAACGCTGTGTGCAAAAAATCCCAGTGGGATGCAAGTCAAACAACAACCACAAAACAACTTTAGATTAAGGCCATCAGTCTAACTCCATACTACAACAAACAAAAACATGGCCAAACAAAAAACGTTTTCGAAATCACCAAAATAAAGCCATAATGCAATGTAACAGTGATCATTCGGGACTGTGACCGAATTTTTAACAATAAACTACACAAATAACATGTAACACCAAACCCTAGAGCCATAGCTGGCTGCATGAGTCACTCCACAACAACAGGAGCATCAGTCGGAGTATCACATTTTTCAATGCACCTTTAAGATCAGCACACTAAATCAAAATACAGATAATACTTTGCAGCGGTCATCCAGAGCGAAACATTTTATTTTATTTTAGGCCACTGAATAGAGCAGTAGATCTCATAGGTAGTGATTCAAGTTTCAGTTTATTGGCAATAGCATTCCAGACCCTGGGGGCATCAATAACAAAGGCCCTTCCTCCGGTTTTTGTACGGCAATAGGGAATGTGAAACTGGTAAATGAGCGAAGACCTGAGGTCAAATTTGTTCTTTGAAACAGAGAGGAGATCCAGCAGGTAGTCTGCGGATTTTTTTGTAAGTACATCGTGAATAAATAAGATCTGGTGCACAAGCCGTCGGACATTTAGAGATGTTAAGTTTGACCCAATGTAGAGATCACAGTGGTGAGTCCTATATGGCAGTTCAATGCAAACGTTAAGGCCGAGTGATAGATGGAATCAAACTTCTTCAGTACAGTACTTGGGGCTGATTTATACACGATATCACAGTAATCAAGTAGAGGCAGTATGGTAGCTTTTATCAATTCTAAACGGAACATACTGGATCCGGGTGTGGATCCCGAACCCCGCTCAGACACCAGCGCTCTCTCGCTTCTTGTTCTTCTTCTGCTGCTGCTTTTGTACGGCACGCCGATGTAGACGCAGGGACAACGACTGCAATTTCACATTCAGGGGTGGGGTGAAACCCTGCAGATGACCGCAAGCGGAGTTAGTCGTATCGCCGCTGTGATATCTACTTATTGGTATTTGTGAATCGGGGCAATGCGTTGTTACACGTTGTTACCGGTCTCTGTCCTGGATGACCCACAGTCGCACATTCCTGGAGAGGTTTTTTTTTAAAGATTCCATTTGTGCATCAGGTATCCGCATCTACTGCTGCCACGGTCTGCGTAGTGGATGCGGTTTAGGGGTGGACCGTGAGCTTCGTGGAAGATGAAACCGAGGGATCTTTCTGTGTTGGGCGGTGTTTGTTCTCGAGTTCTCTTGAACGCCTCTCAGCTCTCCGAGCCTAGTCGGGGTTGAACTCGCATCGTTGAAGGTGAAGCGCACGGGTCCTAAAGGGTGGTCATGTGACTTTAAGCGATGACGAAGGGATGTTATTACTTCACCAGCGCGGTGACGTACGGGCGCTCCAGTCACCAGCGCGGTGACGTACGGGCGCTCCAGTCACCAGCGCGGTGACGTACGGACACTCCAGTCACCAGCGCGGTGACGTACGGACGCCCCAGTCACCAGCGCGGTGACGTACGGACACCCCAGTCACCAGCGCGGTGACGTACGGACGCTCCAGTCACCAGCGCGGTGACGTACGGACACCCCAGTCACCAGCGCGGTGACGTACGGACGCCCCAGTCACCAGCGCGGTGACGCACGGGCGCTCCAGTCACCAGCGCGGTGACGTACAGGCGCTCCAGTCACCAGCGCAGTGACGTACGGGCGCTCCAGTCACCAGCGCTGTGACGTACGGGCGCTCCAGTCACTAGCGCGGTGACGTACGGACACCCCAGTCACCAGCGTGGTGACGTACTGACACTCCAGTCACCAGCACGGTGATGTACGGACACTCCAGTCACCAGCGCGGTGACGTACGGACGCCCCAGTCACCAGCGCGGTGACGTACGGGCGCTCCAGTCACCAGCGCGGTGACGTACGGGCGCTCCAGTCACCAGCGCGGTGACGTACGGGCGCTCCAGTCACCAGCGCGGTGACGTACGGGCGCTCCAGTCACTAGCGCGGTGAAGTACGGGCACTCCAGTGACCAGCGCGGTGACGTACGGGCGCTCCAGTCACCAGCGCGGTGACGTACGGACACTTCAGTCACCAGCGCGGTGACGTACTGACGCTCCAGTCACCAGCGCGGTGACGTACGGACACTCCAGTCACCAGTGCGGTGACGTACGGGCGCTCCAGTCACCAGCGCGGTGAAGTGCGGGCGCTCCAGTCACCAGCGCGGTGACGTACGGACACTTCAGTCACCAGCGCGGTGACGTACTGACACTCCAGTCACCAGCACGGTGATGTACGGACACTCCAGTCACCAGCGCGGTGACGTACGGGCGCTCCAGTCACCAGCGCGGTGACGTACGGGCAGCTCCAGTCACCAGCGCGGTGACGTACGGGCGCTCCAGTCACCAGCGCGGTGACGTACGGGCGCTCCAGTCACTAGCGCGGTGAAGTACGGGCGCTCCAGTCACCAGCGCGGTGACGTACGGACACTTCAGTCACCAGCGCGGTGACGTACTGACGCTCCAGTCACCAGCGCGGTGACGTACGGACACTCCAGTCACCAGTGCGGTGACGTACGGGCGCTCCAGTCACCGCGGTGACGTATGGGCACTCCAGTCACCAGCGCGGTGACGTACGGACGCTCCAGTCACCAGCATGGTGACGTGCGGACATCCAGCAGTGGATTGGCAAAGTGCTGCAAATTTGCCCATTCGGTTGCGATCACAATCCGCGATTGCAGAGCCCCAAAAAGCACATCACGGTAACATTGACTTGACATTGATCGTCTTCTCCGGATTATATGACGCACCTTATAGGCCATTTCTTGCCAGTATCAAAATATAATAATAGGTTTTTAGCCTTTCTGGCAATAAAACAGTTTGTGTTAAGACGTTGAAACACCAAACATAAACCTTTTGTCAGGAATCGTGTCTCCATTAACCACACGTGATTGTGGTGAACACGCTAGCAAAAAACATTATCTGGTAATATAAGGGGCATTGTCTTTGAAACGTCCTCTGGTCTCACACTGGTAGTGAGACTCGGCTCCAAAGAAAGCTGTCTCTGGTGTGGACCAATCCGTTTCAAAGACAGTGCCATATATAATTATCAGAGCGTGTTTTAAGTTTGCATGTTCACAAGTACGTGTGGTTAATGTAGACTTTAATCCTTGCAAAATGTTTCTATTTTGTGATTGCACATCCTAACACAACTGTGTTTTTTTTGCCAGAAAGGGTAAAAGCTATTTTTATTTATTCTATGGGTCTTCTTTATGCATCTTGGGGAGACCATAGAATCTAGGGGGTCTTGCAGCAGAAGGTTTTAGGGAGGGATGTTTAGTTGGTTCGATTAGGGAGGTCGAACTTGTGATGATCTTGTTGGTTTTTATAGTTAGGCTATTAGTAGGGTCATTTTTAATTTTTGAGTAACTTCCAAAAAAAGAAGGCACCCCACTACGACCAATCGTATCCACGATCAACTCCCTTACCTATAAGCTAGCACGTTTTCTGTCAGATACCTTGCTACCTTTCACTGGTAAGACCTCTTCAGCAGTACTTAACTCAGTCCAATTGGTCTCTATGGTCAAAGACGTTGTACTGTCCCCCGACGATATCCTTGTCAGCTTCGACGTGGTCTCTCTGTTCACCAAGGTCCCAGTACCTGATACCATTGAAATAATTGAAAATTTGGTACAACATGGACTAGACCCTGATACACCTGCGCTGGTTAGACACTGCCTCACCAATACCTACTTTACTTGGAATGGCTCCTTCTACAAACAAAATGAGGGTACCCCCATGGGATCCCCCTTGTCACCAGTGATTGCCAATATTTTCATGGAGAAATTTGAATCAGACGCCATCCAGACTTCCACCCTCAGACCTTCCCTGTGGAAGAGATATGTAGACGACACTTTCGTCATTTGGCCACATGGCCTCCCAGCTTTGAACCTCTTCCTACACCACATCAATTCCAGACATCCCGCCATCAAATTCACCATGGAAGTGGAGAAAGATGGCAAGTTGCCGTTCTTGGATGTTCTGTTTGAGAGGAGACCTGATGGCTCATTGGGACATTCTGTCTACAGGAAACCCACCCACACAGATTCCTAGTGGTATTCCAAACTCCCAGGGTGGTGTATTATCATCTTGTGCTAATTCCAAGCTTTGTCAGTGGTGCGTTTCATGCTAATTTCCTTTGTAGGGCGTTTGCTGTTTGCCCCCTTCACAGCTTAAAGGGAGGCGACCAGCGCTTGGCTTTCTTCACTCCAACGCTGTTCGCAGGACAGGTTGGTCCCTTCACCTGATGAAGGCCGCTTGTGTTGTGGCCGAAACGTCGTGATTTTTGTTGTTTTATTTTTTTACCTACGTGACTTTACCGAATAGAACCAAAGAGTATGGATCCTTGCAGTCACGAAAGCTTCAACTCTAGAATCTACGTGACAATTTTCGCTACGCGGTTTTTTTCTCCCCCCGCCCCGCACTGCACTTTGCCGGCGCAGTGTCCGCAGCCGCGACCCGTAACACGAGGGCGGAAGTCGTTAGCCACGTGCGTTTTTTTTTTGGCGCGCCTCAAGTTGCCATTGAAACCCGCGGTGACAGCAGTCGCATTAGCGACAGAAGCAGCAGCAGCAGAAACAGCTGCAGCAAGAGAGACAGCAGCAGTAGGAACAGCAGGAGAGACAGCAGCAGTAGGAACAGCAGCTACACTGACAATCAAACAACCACGGTGGCTTTAGCGACACTCATTGCACACTCTGGCGGCGCCGTCGTCAGCGGTGGCGACATCATGCAGGCGGACACCACCACCACCACCGTCATCATCCGGGAGGGCGACCGCGTCGTGCTGAAGCGAGAAGACGTGCTGAAGGCCGTGCGAGTGGAGAGACACCGGTACGGTGTGCGGCCTTCACACACACCACCTCTCCCCCCTCTCGTCTCTACCACGCCTCTCATCTCTCCCCCCTCTCATCTCCCCCCCTCATCTCCCCCCCTCTCATCTCGCCCCCCTCTCATCTCCTCCCCTCTCATCTCTCCTCCCCCCTCTCATCTCGCCCCACCTCTCATCTCCCCCCCCTCTCATCTCGCCCCCCCTCTCATCTCGCCCCCCCCCTCTCATCTCTCCCCCCTCTTATCTCCCCTCCCCCCTCTCATCTCCCCTCCCCCCTCTCATCTCCCCCCCCCCTCTCATCTCGCCCCCTCTTCATCTCGCCCCCCTCTCATCTCGCCCACCTCTCATCTCGCCCCTCTCGTCTCGCCCCCATCTCGTCTCGCCCCCCTCTCGTCTCGCCCCCCTCATCGTCTCGCCCCCTCTCGTCTCGCACCCCCTCTCGTCTCGCCCGCCCTCTCGTCTCGCCCCCCTCTCGTCTCGCCCCCCTCTCGTCTCGCCCCCCTCTCGTCTCGCCCCCCTCTCGTCCTCGCCCCCCTACTCGTCTCGCCCCCTCTCGTCCTCGCCCCCCTCTCGCTCGCCCCCCTCGCGGCTCGCCCCCCTCTCGTCCTCCGCCCCCCTCTCGTCTCCGCCCCCCTCTCGTCTCGCCCCCTCTCGTCTCGCCCCCCTCTCGTCTCGCCCCCCTCTCGTCTCGCCCCCCTCTCGTCTCGCCCCCATCATCGTCTCGCCCCCCTCTCGTACTCGCCCCCCTCTCGTCTCGCCCCCCTACTCGTCTCGCCCCCCTCATCGTCTCGTCGCCCCCCTCTCGTCTCGCCCCACTCTCGTCTCGCCCCCCTCTCGTCTCGCCCCCCCTCATCGTTCCCCCCGCTTTCGTCTCCCCCCCTCTCATACTCGCCCCCCTCTCATCTCCCCCCCTCTCATCTCCCCCCCCCCTCTCGTCTCCCAAAGCCGAGCGACATTTTAACTGACAGACGTTAACAGTGGTCCCGCCACAGGAATGTGGAATTTCCCACATTGGCTTTTAGGGCCCTGGTTTAGAGATGAATTGCTATTTTATCGACGTTCTCACAAAAACCAAACTCATTCGACTGAATCCCTTTCAAAGATTTTGTACAACGTGCATTTCAGACGCGCTTTATAGTTGCCGGTAATCGTCGGTATCGGATCTGACTGCGGCGTTTTCTTGAGCACCGCCTTGTCAACTGATATTGTCACGGCAATTCAAATATAAATAAAAACCGGCGTGTCGGACTCACTCGGGCGAGCTGACGTTTTCCCGGCATGGCGATGGTGCATTCTGTTGTCGAGTGTGTGTGTGTGTACATTTCGATTTAAAGCTTTCATGACTGCAGGGATTCATATTCTTGGTTCTTTCGGTAAAGTCACGTAGAAGGGAAATAATAAAATAATAAAAATACAACTATAAAATTCTCACGACGTTTCGGCCACAACGCAAGCAGCCGTCCTCAGGTGAAGAACGGAGCTCTCCTCTCACCCAGCTTAAAATACGCTGCCAAGCTTAGCAGTGTTCATTAGGACGCTGTCTTTCCGACAGCTCTGTTCTTCACCTGAGGACGGCTGCTTGCGTTGTGGCCGAAACGTCGTGAGAATTTTATTTTATTATGTTTCATTATTTCCCTTCTACGTGACTTTACCGAAAGAACCAAGAAAAATTAGAGTGTGTGTGTGTGCACAAAGGAAAACCATTCACTTATCCCATACACAAGCCATATTTACAAAACAAGACACCCCGTAATGCAGTATATTATTCTGATTATGTTAAAATGATGGCTTTAAGGTGGCCGAATTTGTGAAACCGCCCCACAGCGAATGGGCAAGTCGCTGAACTGGCGAGATGTTAGCTACCTCGTCAGGTATACAGGAGGTCGTGGGTTCGATCCCTACCCTGACGCCTGCTGCTGTATATTTGGAGTTTGCGTGTCTCTCTCCTCGTGGTTGTGTGAATTGTTCTCCCGGTCCTCCGGTTTTCCTCTCCACATATGGAAACACGCGTTTAGAGTATTTATTTTTGCCTGCTGTACATTTCCACATGATAAGCCGCTTTGCTGAGCTATCATTTGTGGCCAGGTAGCTTCTGGAAAAGAGCTATATAGCTTTGTGGGCCTTACCGGGTAAAATAAAATACGGTAAAATGGTAACACGAAATGGGCAGATCGCTGTACTGACAGGCAAGGTCGTGCGATGCATCCCTCAGGAAGGTGAACTTCGAGAAGAAGTGGTTCTTCGTGGACAGTTTGATCGGCGCGAGGTACGGCACAACGTTTGACATCACGGGTGGAGGCGACCTACAGCCCCTGTGTCCGAGCAATGCGCTCAAGGCTGAAGGTGAGACGTTGTCACCCGATGTCAAGACGTTGTCAGGAGGGTCCACAATTGGGATGTTTGGCCACTTTCTTACCTGGTGTTAGTTCATCCTTTGCAGTACTTTGTACTCTTATGCTGGGCCTTCTTCACAGTCATTATCATCAACATTAGCCACCTTATTCTTTGGGTCTTTCGGTAAAGTTACGTAGATAGGTTCAAAGAAAATAACAACAAAAATGTAAGTGGTGTGCATTACCATTGGCTGCTGACATTTTGGCTATGCCCATTTCAAACCTTTATAAACAGTTTACCTTTAGAAGCTAACCCCCTCTTCTTGATGGAGGGTTCTGCTTTGGCCAATTTCATTCAAGATCGTTGGGATTCATGTCGATCGAAACGTTTTTTGTATTTTTTTGTAATTTTCTTTGAACCTACCTACGTGACTTTACCGAAAGACCCAAATAATATTTAATTCCTGCAGTCACAAAAGCTTTAAGTCAAGATTTAACATTAGCCACCGCTTGATGAAGGGCTTCGAAAGCCACTGCCGCCTCTGGACATCTGTGAAAAAGGGCTGCATAGCTCATCGGATTTCTCCAGGATAAATAAAGGTTCTGATCATCATTATTCTTAGATGCAAGATTCTGTCTGGCTCCTGCACGCAAGCTAATCTCATCGTTCAATATCCTCGGTGGATGTGCTTTTGTGCGTTTCCTCCCTGGGTAGCCGTTGTCCTTAGTCTGAACCGCTGACCATGACCCCTTCAAGTTACGTGTCCTGCCCAAGCCCACTTGTTTTCCTCCGCACTTTGTATGGTGGCTGGGGGAATTGGCCACTTCCAACCAAAGGATTTTCGCACTTTATAGCAAGAACAATTTGGCAGCCCCGACTGGAGGATGGTCTGACCATCCATCACCACCACCATACCTTAGCTGCTTTTGTCTCCACACAGTGCTGATATTTGCAAACTGTAGCATGTACTCAATTAAGGCTGTATCGATCACAGCCTCAAATGAGGCTCCGATAAGAACGGTTGGCTATGTACAGTGCGAAAGAAGAAGTTCAACATACGGTACATACGTACGGTGCTGCTCAGAGATGCCTGCCCAATTGTTCTAAGGCAGGGGTCAGTTCAACACATGGATTATTAAATCCATCTGATGCAGAGCTTTGTGTGTTGTCCCCTTTTGTGTCGGTAATGGATATGCTCCGGGTACTCTGCTTACCTCCGACATGAATCCCAACGATCTTGAGTGAAATTGACCAAAGCAGAACCCTCCAGAAAACAGTCTCGAGTGTCAATGGGGCTTTGGGGCATTGGTATATAGCATTGGTATATACCACCACCACCACGAGAAATTCCTATGTCAGTCTCGTGTCCCAAACAATACAATTGCACAAGATAATTGTACGATAGAGTTTGGACTTGTAGGGTGTCTATGTGCAATCGCTTCTCGAAATGTCGCACCATCCTTTTTCCCCGTTGTGCCCCACACGGGTCGCCGTGCTGCTTGGTTGTCTCCCCGCCAGTCGCGGTGGCGGAGTCCGGAGTCGACAACCGCAACATCCAGAGCGACGGTTCGGCGCAGAAGCTCACGCGGGACGACATCTCGGCTCTCAAGGAACAGGGCCTCAGGGGCACGGTAGGGCCCAGCTCCTCGCTAGCCCATCCCCAGGGGCACGGTAGGGCCCAGCTCCTTTACTGCCCCCCAGCCTCAGGGACACGGTAGGGCCCAGTTCCTCACTGGCCTAGCACGGAGAGATAGGGGCTGCATGTAAACGTTGAGCCCTGCAATTAAACTCAACTGTAAACAATTTTTTTTGTTTTACCCGGTAAAGCCCACTGAGCTATATAGCTCGTTTTCAGGAGCGACCTGGCCACAATTGTATGCATGTATGTTGTACATATTTTGTACCGTACGTAGCCAACCGTGCTAATCGATTGCTCGACAAACAACATCAAGCAAACCATGACGCCCTGCTTGATGAGAGGCTCTTAATGAATGGTATTATTTTGTTATTCGTATCGGAGGATTCCGTTGATTTTTCTCATCGGTGATTTGCGTTGAGCAGGAGATTGTGAGCCAGCTGGTGGAGAACAGCAGCACGTTCAAAGAAAAGACGGAGTTTTCTCAAGAGAAGTACATCAAGAGGAAGAAGAAGAAGTGAGTGGATCCGCAGTATGCGGAACAGCACCGCTGTCAGTCCGGTAGTGTGGTGGTTCACGCGTTGCGCTACGAACCTGGCGACCCGAGTTCGATTCTCGCTCACGGCCAACACCGGTGACGATTATCGAAACCGGTCCTGGGCCTCCCCTAGGTCGCCTCAAATGAGCACCTGGTGCGGTGTGTAAAAAACATTGCCACTGGGGAGACAAAGGCGTTCGGGCATGGTGCTGGGCACCGACTCTCTTGTGTGCCTTCTTACCCTTCATAGGTGCTCGCTTTATATGTTGAACTTATTTTGCACGGTACGTAGCCAGCCGTGCTCATCGGTGGTGCGGGGAAGAACAACAAACTCAACACAAAAAGTAGTTCTAAAGAAATTAGTTTTCAATCTAGATGATTTCAAAGTGCATGGCTCCAGTGGCTTTTTAATATCGGAAGGAAGAGTGTTCCAGACGGCCGCAGAAGCGCATCTCAAAGCATGCAATGCGGTGACAGTCTTTGTTCAATGGCGAGCCAAAAGCCGATGCTTAAAGGATGACCGGAGTTCACATGATGGTTTATGCTCCCCCGATGAGATCAGCCTGGTATTGTGGTTCATTTGTGGCAAGCACTTTGTGTACAACGAGTGCGACCTTGTAATGGACGAGGGCTTCCCTAGGCCGTGCGGGTCGTTTGACTATACTTCACCACTCGGTGAGAATTAACGATGGCAGAGAAGCATATTCTCATCTGAAGTGATATGTTCAGGAGCTAAATTCCGCTTTTGAGGTCCGCTAGCCACGACGAGAGGGTTTTAGGATGGAGTTTTGTGTAGTTTTGCTTGGGGAAGCAAGGATGTTGAAGTATCGTACAACAATTTAGTTTGTTTGCACGGTCCTCTTCACCTACATGGGTTTTTTTTTGTCCCAGGACTGTGTTTGTGGGACATTTGTTCTCCAGTATTACAACGATAACATAAATAATCTGCACGGTGTGTCCGCTCGCTCTCGACTCGGACGCGTGAGGAGGAACCACGGACAAGCGGGCAGGCAGCGGCCAGACCGCGTGAGCTGGCGCCAACGATCGGCCAAGCTCTGCGGTCCTCCGTATATATGCGAAGAGACGTCTTCGGACCATTGCACGTGCGAGAGGGAAAACGGGGGCCAAGGACTCGTCGGTCACGGCGGTTATTCGACCATACTTTTCCGCGCTGGTCAGCATGGGTTGGTTTAAGCCCCGGGAGCGTAGAAGTAGCGTTACGATTCATCGGTAGGGACGGCGGGGGAGTGCTGCGGTGACGCTGCGGTCACTGACGAAGGGCCGCGTGTGCGCGCAGGTACGAATCCCACATCACGGTGCTGAAGCCGAACGCACGCCTCCTGGCTACAATGTACCACTCGCGCGAGCCGGCCAAGATCTGGTAAGCGCTGCTCCTCCAAGAGCATGTGGCCCACCACTTTTGCCGCGAGAGCACCCTCCTCCGATTGTCGCGGTTGGCCGCGTGCGGTGCGAAGGAAGTTCAACGTACATGCGTGCATTTACCTGACAATGCCTGAGAGCAGCGGTCTGCCATATTGAATCAATTGTCTTAACGTAAAATTGTGTTTTAAGATTACATTTTTTGTTGTTAAAACGGTCGCAAAGGGGGGCAGCCAAAGAGCCGCATGCGGCTCCGGAGCTGCAGTTTGGCCGATGACCCCTGCCTTAGAACAATTGGGCAGGCATCTCTGAGCAGCACCGTACGTATGTACCGTATGTTGAACTTCTTCTTTCGCACCGTACGTAGCCAACCGTGCTTATCGGAGCCTCATTTGAGGCTGTGATCGACACAGCCTTAATTGAGTACATGCTACAGTTTGCAAACTTCAGCACTGTGTGGAGACAAAGGCAGCTAGGTGTGGTGGTGATGGATGGTCAGATCATCCTCCAGTTGGGGCTGCCAAATTGTTTTTGCTATAAAGTGCCTGAAATGTTTTGGTTGGGAAGTGGCCAAAAGTGCCCAATTCGAGCTTACAAAAATTGACATTTTACCGTAATTTTTTTGTTTAAATATTTCAAATGAATGTGTGCCCACGTGTAAAATTTAATGATTTAGAGACAGTTGATGGTGTATGTACGTATGCTGAACCTCTTTCACACACCGTGCATAGCCAACCGTGCTAATCGGAGGTGCGGGGGGAGAAGGACGACGAACTAATACACAAAAATCAGAATGAGTTTTCAATCTCGACAGAGATCCGGTGAGGTTGTCCGTGCGCGCGAGAAGCGGGGCGAGGGGGGGGGGGATGGGTGCTGACCCCCCCCCCACCCCCGGCTCCGGGTGCTGCCGGCGGGGTTTTTGTGCTGTAACCCCACGACGCCCCGCTCGCTCGTGCCAGCCACCTCCGCGTGGACTCGCTGTCGCAGCTGCTGGCGTCCGGGAACGTGCGCGCCAGCGGCAAGACGATCGTCGTGGAGAGCTGCTCGGGGCTTGTGCTGGGCGCCGTCATGGAGCGCATGGGAGGTGAGCGCGGCCGGCACGCGCGTACGTGCGGGCAGCGGTGGCGCAGCGGGTTAGCGCGCCATGCCACGAACCCCGGCAACCCCGGTTCGATTCCCGTTCGCGATCGACACGGGTGACGGTTATATGAACCGCGTCTCGTCTAGGTGGACTCTCGTGCGGTGCGTAAACATCGCCACTCGAGACACGAAGACGGTCAAGTGTGGTGCTAGCCACCCACCGCCCCCTTGGCAGGCAATCGGTAACAGCACTTGCCCAAACAATCTGTTAAGACTATACGGGGGGGGGGGGGGGTGGGGGGGGTCGTCTTTGTGTGTGATGGTGCTCGTGCAATCTTTGCATCCGTCCGTCTGTTGCCCCCCCCCCCCCCAACCCCGTTTCGTCCATCTGGCCGTCCATTCTCCCGTGAGTAACCCGTCCGTCCGTCTGTCCACGCCTCCACAGGGCACGGCACGATCCTAAACGTCCACGCTGGCGCCATGGCCAACACCACGGCCACGGAGCACTTCGGCTTCCCCGAGCGCTTCTTCGCGCGCGTCTTCTCCGTCCCCCTCGACCGGATCGGCGCCATCGCCCAGCAGTGCTGCGACGGCGCTGCCGCTAGCAACACAGACGCCGTTGTCATTAGCAACACTGACGCGGTCGTCGTTAGCAACACCGGAGCCGCCGCTAACAACACCCCCGCCGCTAGCAACAACACCGCCGCCGCTAGCAACAACACCACCGCCGCTAGCAACAACGCCGTCGTCGCTAGCAACACTGCCACCGTGGTCTCCGCAGAGCGCGCTGGCCTCCCAGAGGGATGCTCGGACGGATGTGCGGACGACTCTGGTATGGGCACGGAGGCGCCAGCTGCCGGGAATGTGGAGCAACCGGAGCAGGATTCTCAGCAGGCGGAACTGGATTCCATTGCGGGAGAGCAGGCTGGCAAGAGGCAAGGAGATGTCTGGACCGAGAGTGAGACTGGCATGGCCAACGTCAAGGACCTCAAATCTCAGGTGAAGGGAATGTTTTTGGCGAAAGTAATTTTTCTGCTTACATTTTTTTATTCTATACCGCGAGCAAGAGACACGTTTTAAACACTTTTCTATACTGAGGTTGGAAAAGCGTTGATGCGTTGGCTCGGCGATCGTTGGACTGACGCGGTCGGATCTTGCGGTAACCGTCGCGACTCGTGCCAGAGAATTGTGTACACGCCACAGCTGAGCGTCGGTGCGTTGCCTGCCGCCGCTCTCCACAGAAGGAGGCGCGGCAGGAGGAGAGGAAGCGGTGCGCAGACATTGGCGCAACGGAGCTCGCGCGGAGAGATGCCGATGGGTGAGTCTTCCCATCAAGTTATTGCCTCAATTGTGTAAACAGCTTTACTCGCACATAATGCGCTGACAGTGATTTTGGTTATGCACGAGTTATTAAATTCGTTAACTTGCGCGAGTTATTAAATGTGTTTACTTGAAACATGAACACCGTTGCGGCCTAGTGCCGCCCCCAGCCTGCCTCGCTTGGTTTCGGTGCCCAGGTCCTTAGCCCCTTGCCTGGCAAGGCAGGCCAGACTGGGGGGGGTTAGACTCATGTCACTCATCAGGGTGTGACATCGATGGCCATTGCACGTGTAATCACGCAATGGCTTTAGCGTACGCTTTAGGCCTGGGTGTAGCTGTAAGTCCTGTGTAACTTGGGAGGGGCCGGTCGATGGAGGAAGCCGGTTACTGGCACGGCCATTGGGGAGGTCTCTACAAGAGTCCGGTGACAATGGGGTACGAGAAGGCCGAGGAGCAGCAGACGGTGGTGGGGGGGAGTCTGTTAGGGGCAGACCTCGAAGGCCGCTGTGCTCGTACTGCGCAGCAGCTGCGGGATCTCTGGTGGGTTGTGGGGTGGTGACAACAGCTTTGGCCCGGCGAACGACATTGATTGTTTTTTTGTTAGTATGCATTTAGGATTGAGCATAATTTCCGGTTGAGTATGTATGCATGTTAAACGTCTTTCTCACGTACATAGCCAACCGTGCTAATCGGAGGTGCGGCGGGATAACTCGACATTTACTACAACTTTAGGTTTTGCATACGCTGCAACTTCAGCTCGGGGGCTGCTCATCGCCATCTCCGCGGCAGTTTCATTCCGCCTTTTAAATCCCCGCAGAAGTCGCTGGGTTGGTGAGGAGCATGACGACCGTGGAAGGTCACGATACGTACTTCGTGGCGTGACGTTGCCGGCGCAACGGCTTTAACCCCCCACCAACCCCCCCCCCCCCCAACCTCGCTCGCCTGCTGTCTCGTCAGCCTGATCATCGCCTGCAAGTTCCAGCCGTGGCCGATTCTCGAGGGGCTCCTCGACTTCGTCTCCCCCTCGCGACCTTTCGTCGTCTTTTGCCAGCACAGGGAGGTGCGTGTGTACCTGTGCATGTGCGTGCATGTGCGTGTGCTTTCATACCGGCACGTGTACCTATGTGGCTGGGTCATGTAGCCCGCATGCCCAGCCACCGCATGCCTAAGGAGCTTTTGTTCGGCCGGATAGAGGGTGCTAAACGGGCGCGGCATGGGCTCGAGAAGAGATGGAGTGATGTGGTACAAGAGGATGTGGAGCAGAGTGGACTTGCCGATGACTGGTACCAGCGGTGTCAAGATCGGCCTCTGTGGAGGAGGCTCGTGAAGGATGCTACTGGGCAGTTGGGAGGCAGTCGCCCTCCAACAACGGAGGGCGGAGGAGCGACGCTCACAACAATGAGCGGAGCGCCGGGTGGCACAGTAGGGGGCACAGGTGGTGCATCAGCCAGTCATCTCAGTCGACCCGTGGCACCTGGGTCTGCCCCGTGACCTGCCAGCGGGCGTTCGACACTTCACGTGGCCTCAACGTGCACATAGCCTGGCACAAGCGCAAATGTTGTTGTTTGTGCATGTACCTGCGTGTGCACGTCTGCCTAGGTCTGTACCTTCGTGTATACCTGCGTGCGTACCCGCGTGCGTGCGTTTGCACAGGTGCGTACGGTGCGAAAAAACTTCAACATACATGTGTGGATATATATACACGATGCGTGTGCACGATGCGTGTACCCGGTGTGTGTGTGTGATGTGTTGCAGTGTGCGTATATGCGACATGTGCACAGTGTGTGTGTGTGTAATGTGATGTGTGCGCGGTGTGTGTGTGTGTACATGCGATGTGTGTGTACCCGGTGTGTGATGTTTGTATGTGCGCTCTGTGTGTGTGTATATATATGCGATGTGTGTGTGTATATATGCGACAAGTGCACAGTTGGTGTGTGTGTAATGTGATGTACGCGTGGTGTGTGTACACGCTGTGTGTGTACATGCGATGCGTGTGATGTTTGTATGTGCGCTCTGTGTGTGTGTGTGTATATATGCGATGTGTGCGCACAATGCGTGCGATGCGTGTCATGTGTTTGTATGTGTGCTGTGTGTGTGTATATGTGATGTGTGTGCACGATGCGTGTCGTGTGCAGCCGCTGCTGGAATGCTACACCAACCTGAAGGAGCGCGGGAACGCGGTGAGCCTCCACCTCACAGAGTCCTGGCTCCGCTTCTACCAGGTGAGGCTCGTCATCATCTATGATCTATCCACTGCTGGATGAAGATCTCGCCAAGCCGCCAGCATCTCGCGCTCCTATGATGCAGCAATCCGTCTGGCGCCTGGGTGCGAACTTTATGGCTCCATCTCCACGGTTAGCGGCCTCTTGGGTGTTTTCTCCCCTTTGGCAGCCGCTCCGTCATCATCATCACCATCATGAGCCATGGATAGATCTAGACTGATGATGATGGTGATGATTAGATTGGTAGACAGTCTCTTTGTCAATCCACTGATGGGCTAAAAGTGTCCACATGCCATGTCAGTCTTGGGGGTCATTTGACCATACTTCACTCTTCCGGTCAATGCAGGTTGGTGATGGATAGAGGTTGATGGGGTGAGGGTGGGTAGCAAGATGTTGACTACCTCGCCTGGTATACAGGAGGTCGTGGGTTCGATCCCGACTGACACCTGTATATTTGGAGTTTGCATGTTCTCCCTGTGGCCGTGTGGATTTTTCTCCAAGTCCTCCTGTTTTTCCGTCCACATTTAGAATCAACATGCTATACATTGCTGAAAGAGGTCGTTTCTGAAAGAGCTATATAGCTAAGTGGGCCTTACTTGGTAAAATGAAAATATTTAAATAGTTCGGGTGGGGGGGAGGGGGTGGAAAGGGGGAAGACTCGGGACCGGTTCACATATCGACTGCCACCGATGTTGGCACCGGTCGGGAATCAAACTGATGTTGCGAGATTGAGGGAGAGAGCGCGGCGTGCTAACCGCTGCGCCGCTGGTGCGTGCATGTGTGTGCATTTTTATTTTGTCGTCGAGGTTTTGCCGAACCGCACTCATCCGCTCATGAGCACAAGCGCCTCCGGGGGATACCTGCTCGCAGGTAAGAGGCTGCTCCCCCCTCCCCCGTAGCGGCAGGGACCGGTGCAGCTGAACTCCGTAGTCTTGTCGGTGCCGAGATGTTAACCACCTCGCCTGGTGTACAGGATGCCGTGGGTTCGATCCCGACCCTGACGCCTGCTGTATATTTGGAGTTTGCGTGTCTCTCTCTCTCTCCGTGGTCACGTGGGTTTTTCTTGGGGTCCTCCGGTTTTTCACTCCATATTTAGAAACACGCCGTTTGAGTATTTTCCTGGTGTACATTTCCACGTGGTTAGTCACTTCTTGAGCTATCATTTGTGGCCAGGTCACTTCTGCAAAACAGCTACATAGCTCATTGGGGTCTTACCTGGCAAAATAAAATGTTTCGTTTTTACAGTTTATAGTTTAGTCCCAGCACGACCTCTCCTCCTCAACCGCCGCCACCTCCACCACGCACTTTCTACTCCCAGCTTGCGTCGCCTTGGCCGAGCCGCGAAAGGGGAATTTCTCCAGTAGAAATAAATACAGTAATACCTTGGATTGCGATCCGTCGATTTTCCTTTCGTCGTTACCTTCAGCCTCCTCTTGCGCAAGGCGCCGTCGCCACCTCTTGCGGACTCGTGCCGCAACGGTCCGTCGGGCTCCTTGCACGCGAGTTTACCTCCAATCACTCCTTTGGCTGCCTCTCCACCCTTAGTCTCGACCACTGGGCTATCGCTCCGTCCAGGTAATGTGTCCCGTCTGATCCAGACTTAACTCACGCCTCTGGGCATGTTTCCTCTTCCAGTTTCCAAGTGGCTTACGTGAAGTTTGAAATAAAATAAACTCGAAACGGTGTCGATTGACGGTGGATTACCTTTTGATGGCATTATGATTTACAACGGGGGATGGATTGTCCCTATTGCAGGCATTACGGTGGCGCCTGATGCTGGCTCTGCGGCGCGGCCTGTGGCGGAGAAGCCCACGACGGAGCAACCTGTGGCGGAGAAGCCCACGGCGGAGAAGCCCACGGCGGAGCAACCTGTGGCGGAGAAGCCCACGGCGGAGCGACCTGTGGCGGAGCGACCTGTGGCGGAGAAGCCCACGGCGGAGCGACCTGTGGCGGAGAAGCCCATGGCGGAGGGACTCTTGTTGGAGGTGCCTGTGGCAGAGGAGGAGTCCTCAGCAGATGAGCCCGTGACGGAGGAGGAGCCCATGGCGATGCAGGAGCCTGTGACTGAGAAGCCCACGACAGCCGCGGAGGAGCGTGAAGAGGAGGAAGGGCCGAAAGCCAAGCGAGCCAAGACTGACGGGGATCGGGATTCCTAGGTTGTGCCCGCAGAGCTGGGCAAAGCACGATCGCTCACTCGGTAGTGGTCGTGATTCACAGCAAGAAGGGGCCTGGGTTCGATTACAAACTCGGGTGCTCTTCTGTGTGGGGTTTGTTACCCCTGTTGTGCACGGGTTCTCCCGAGTATCGCACGCAGTACTCGCACTATAAGACGTTGTCCCAAGTCCAACCGCTTCGCCGCATGTGGACTGAATTCAATACGCGTAACGTCACGAGTCTTGGGTATAGGTTCGCCGCATATACGGCGTGAAATCGCGCAAACTGAAACCGCGTCAAGCGATGGGAAACCTGTACAGCGAGACTAACGATGCACCGATTAATCGATTAAAAGACTTGTTAGGCTCCTGATGTATTCGTTGATTTTCCGGAAAGGATTGGTTATTTAATAATGGCGTTTCCGGGGCCGTACCGCGAGTTGCTGAGGCACGCGTTGTCAGCTTGGCTCAACATGCTCTGGCGTTTCTTCGGCAACGCCAATTCAATTCTGAAAGACGGCTTCCAACAGGAGTGAAACGTCAAACATCGTGCCGAAAAACGCAAACACGAAAGCTCTAAATCAGTGTTCTTCATTGCAAGGCAGGTGGCCCCTGATGGCCTTTAGTGCGGACCCCGACAATACACAAATTTGAAGACGCCCCTCCATATCATCGTGCTGCTGTAAAAACCCCCAATGGTTTCAAATGTGGCGGCCCTCAACACATTGATGATGTCATATCGGAGAAAGTGGCCCCCCTCTGAAGAACACTGGTCTAAAAATATATTTTTTAAATTGTGCAACTCAAAATGTGGTTACATTCAGTTGCAGGAGTTGAACCATATAGTTAGTTTTTATTGTGGCTGTAGGAATTAGGTTGAACCACTCGCAACACAGCACGCCGTCACTATCGCCAGCCACAAAGCAGAAACAGTTAAACTTTCATTCAAAGTTAAGGATTTCTTTTAATCGGTTAGTTGATGCATTGTTATATGCCTATTTTTTTGTATTGTCGCGCTGCCACAGGATACCTTTGCAAAGTATTCATTTTGACCGTGTCTGGCCTATAAGGCACAATGGTAACATCCACTACGTCTCATGAATGGGCAGTGGCGATTAGAAAATTTTATTAATTGCTAATATACGCGTGAGTATTGGACACTGATTAATGATAAATTCTGAGTGCTATATGCAGGGCCGGATGTAAGGGGGGGGGGAAGTAGATAGGATATTTGTCCAGGTCCTAAACCTTACAAATGATCCCAAGGACATAAATAACGAATAAGAACGTTTGGATTGTATAACCGTGTATTCATATCCTTTTAACGCGACTCGTATCATTCGTAGGAGCTTCCGTGATGTCATGTCGAGCACGCTCGACTTGCAATCCGGAGGTGAGCAGTTCAATTCCATCTCTCGGCACGGCCAAATACCATCTAAGAGCCCCCTCGAGTGGAGGCCCTTCCGCCAGCAGTCGCATGCAGTTGCAGGGCTGTACCTATACTACCTCGTAATAAGAGGAAATATTTCCTTTGTTGGTGTCACAGGTGCAAAAAAAAACATCTTCAATCCGGCGCCAGTCGTGCGTCGAGGTAAACGCTTGTGCCTTACGTGATGTTCACACCCCAGGTATTCACTCGACAGGGTGGTCCAGATGTCTTGACCTCCCCCCCCCCCCCCAATTCATTCTGTAATAAAACTTAATATTTGTTAAGGTTTATTTAAAACAAATGAATATGCAAGGTGGTATGTTAATTTGGTGAGGGGTCACGACATCTTGCCCACCCTGTAAATACTTTCCACCCCTGCGATTGATGTGTGCACTCCCACTGTGGAGCCGGGGTCGGGCACGCTGGATTACAAGACGCTTTGCTGTGCCTCGAGTGTGAACGCGGTGGCCGTCGTCGTAAACATTCAGAGTTCAAATCACAACGTGGCGCGTGGTTACGTTGTGGGCAGTGCAGGGCAGCAGAATCTACAGCTCCCACTGCTCCAGCTCTTTTTGTTTCCTAAGGGTAGCCCCCTCACTGGGATGTGGACGGGGTAGTGAAAGGAGGATTCCGAAAAGCGAAACCTTGAAAGTCGAAAATGGAAGAGCTCTCCGTGTTCACCAAGCTGCGCTGACCAGCGTGGTGACGTATGGTTAAACAACCACCCCCACGGAGGCATACGGTGCGGGAGAGGACCCTCGGCCAAGCAGTGGCCCGACAACAGGACGATACTTGTACACTCTGCGTTCTTAAAACGTCCAAACATCGGGAAGAACGGCATTCGATGTGACAGCACACCCACGCGCGCCAGCCGTTTTATTTGGTTTGAACGCTTGCTTCGTCACCCCTTCCAAACAGCAGCAATGTCAAAGGGAAACGAGCAATCGCCATGATTAATCAACAAGTGCAAGGAAGAAGTGTAAATGCATTGTTCCATCAGCTGCATAGTCAAGTGTTCCCCCGCAACAACAAAAAACACATTTATTTTTCACCCCATGTGTGGGTTTGCAGTGACCCCTTGCCCCACTTGGAGTGATCCACGTACAGAACCTCCACTAAAAAAAATTATCTGGGGTACATTGAGAAAGTAACCTTTCATTCACACCTCCCAAACTCAATACAACTCATTCAGCCTTTTAGCACTCACTCCTTTCTCAAGATATGGAGGGGTGGATTGAACATTCAATCGGGCGTTGTGGGAGGGGGGGGGGGTGTTAAATATCAAGTTGTGTAAACAAGGATCACCATTTTAACACGTAGGCTTTCGCGACCAATATCCATAACAGGTTTTTTGGGGGGGTTAGATCAAATCTGGCTGCCACCTAATGATGCCGGTTGTAATTACCGGTGAAACGGCGTACTCTTGATTGTAAATGGTGTGGATTTGCTCTCCCAACACACCAGTGGTGTTGTACGAGTAACGAATTGGCATGTTCCGTTTACGCTGCATACTTTATTAATTGGCTATCGGGCACTGGGTGCTTTAACGAGACATTAAGATTTACACGATCCAACCTAAAAAGAAATCTGTTATGAAGGATCACCCTGTATACATTGTAATGAACATGATTGCTTTTAGGCACATTAAGCATTTCAACCACACCTATATTATAACATGGTCGCAGGTTCCGTATGCTACCTTTGTGGCAATAAAATAAAAATCAGAGGCTGCGTAACTTCGTGTGAGTTTCCCCCTCCCCCCCCCATCGTAAAGGTGTGCAGGATGGGAGCAGAGGATCATTAAAGTGACAGGAAAACGAGCTCAACTGGATCTGTTCATCAGTGAGAATGTTCTCTGCAATTAATGTATTGAAATCCACAACAACCCCTCTCCCGTTCCAGACCGCACCAATATTACCCACGCTAAACACCCTGGGTCTGTCATTAGCTCCACGGCATGAAGGAACGCGAGCAGAACAGCATTCCAAAATTTATTTTAAACTTTTGCTGCCGATAACATTACCAGCGGTGTATTGGCACAAAAAAGCCACAACTCAAAAGTTTGTCAACAACACCGCCTTAAAAGAAAGACATTTCAAGCAATGGCCATTCTCAATTTGGCCCTTCGATAAAGGGCCACTGCCCGAACATCGCCTATTATATCAGCCCCCCACCCCTTTTTGGGGCAGTCTCATTGACGGATGCGTTGGATTTAAGTTTACTTTGGACTAAACAAAAACCCCGAAGCAAATTAATTTCAATCGGGATCACAACGGGCTCTTGTGTGCAGATGTTACGTGCTGCTTTGCGTTACCGCTAAAATTGGCGGTGGCTTGGGGAGGCGCTTCATCTAGCATGGGCCCCGCCCCCCCCCACCCATGCTGGATGTTGGCCGTGGTTGACGAAAGGCGATGATAGAGAATATGAAAATGTGGGATTTTAACGGACGAGATGAGCGGGAATGCCATATGGCACTTGCACAGCATTCCTCCCGTTCCACAGACACTCATTCCCTGCGAGCGTGTTTTTTTTTTTGTCAGGCCGAGTTTTTTGCGCTGTCAAGTTAAAAGAACCCCATCGACACGAAGGGTAAACGCAAAACGACACGGTGAAAATTCCTGCAACTAAAGAATAGCAAAAAAGACGGCACAAACAAAGCAAAACGATCCTTTGAAGAAAAACAGACACCGCAATGGTTATGTTTTCTGCGTAATTGGAAATGTTAGCATGCTGCTAGAAAGGAGCGCATTGTGTAACCAGTGCAAGACCACCCCCCACCCCCCCCCCCCCCACAAGTATAACTTTAGACGGGGGGACACTGGGTCGTCATTTGGATTGTTCGGCGAAATGTGCCGAGCTCGCGCACGGTGCGATGCAGTGGAATTACGTTTGATGGAACACATCGGCGGCATAAATAAATTCATCCAAAAGGCTGGGTTTCCCCATTGACAAACAAAAGGTCATATTCTTGGTTATTTCGGTAAAGTCACGTTGAAGGGATAACAATAAAATATATATAACAATATTTTATTGTTATCCCTTCAACGTGACTTTACCGAAAGAAGCAAGAATATGAATCACTGCAGTCACGAAAGCTTTAAATCAAACAAAAGGTCATTAAACGTAAAGTGACCGATAATAAAAAAAAAACAACATTCCAAACTGAAAGAACTTATAAAAAAAAATCAAGAGTGACAGAAATTGCTGTATTTTCCCACAAAGTGAAAACAATTCACAGAGACTCTCTCTCTCTCGCGCTGTGGGATGCTACTTCAGCCCTCCTCCGTCGGGTGGACTTGCCGTTGACGGAGCTCGCTTCCGTCCGTAAACAACGCGTCCGAGATTCTCCCCACAGGCTCCGTCTCCTCTGCGCTTGTCCCCACTTCTGGCCGTCCCTGTGCCTGCCCTACGGTGGCCCTGGCAGGTGCGGGCGCATGACGGCCGCCCAGGGCCTCCACTGCAAACAGACGGGGGGAGGAGCACAGAGAGGAGGAGCAAGAAGCGAAAGAAGAGCGAGAATGATTGGTTTTTACACGAAATGCTGTTTTGTCACTTAAGGATAACGCGATTTGCGTTCATTCGGGCGTTTAAATGCCTCGGCTACTCGACGTGCCTTGCACAGCAAAATGTCGTCGGGGAGCATAAACCATCATCGCGGTCATCATCACAGCAGCAGAGGCTTTTGGCTAGCCATCGAACAAAGATGGTAACGCATAGCGTGCTTTCAGATGTGCTTCTGCAGCCGTCTGGAACGCTCTTCCAATATTAGGAAGCCACTGGGGAGCTATGCACTTATAAATCTCGATTGAAAACTGCTTTTGCGTTTAGTTTGTTGTCCTTCCCCACGCACCTCCGATTAGCACGGTGGCTATTGTACGGTGCGAAACTAATTTCGACGCACATACTGATGTAGTCTAGCGAAGGGCACACTCAGTGGCAGCTGTCCCTGTGCAGCACAAGGTGAACGTAGCACCCGGCTTGCAAGTGGGCATTACTCTGCCACAGGAGAGGAAGGGGGGAGGATGTTGCTACGGGACTTTTTCCCCAATTAAAACAAGTTGCGAGTAATGTATCAAAACTTGCACCGTTATTTTTTCAATCCCGTGCGTTAACAGGACAAGGAAAATTACAAAAAGCAAGTATCGTGATTTGTGGGTCTGTGTCCAGGGATGTCCAAAGGGAGTTTGAATCTTCGTCAGTTGACCAGACTTTAAGCCGACTCTAAGGATGACAACTTTAGTTACGTGGATCAATGGAAATGCAGTAAATAGTGGGCCTCATGTTACAATGTCATAAATGCTTCGTACCTAGCTTGACAGACGGATGTCGTTTTGGAGGACACACGCGGTCAATCACCAGCACAAAGACCTGCAAGAGAGCACGCCACGTGTGGGTTAAAGTGAAGTCTACAGCTGGGCTTGCGCAGATGAGGCTGAAGCACGGAGGGAGCTGGTAGGAACGTTGGGTTGCTCGGTCAATGGCCAGGGTCAACGGCGGCGTGGTGTAGTCTGCAAATATGCCGACTGCGAGGGCGGGCACAAGCCGGCGTGAGTAGGTTAAACGTTGAGTTTTATAAGGGCACCACGGGGTGACCAGCCCCTCCCTAACCAGCCTCACCCAACCCCTCCCCACCCTCCCCACCCAGCCCCTCCCATTTTTGGATGCACGACGGACGGACGGACACAATAATCCCCTGTGGGCTTGTTTAACCAGAGGTTCCTACCAGTAAAATATACTTCCTAAACTAACTTTTTATTTTGCCAGGTAAGGCCCACTGAGCTATATAGCTCTTTTTCAGAAGTGACCTGGTCACAAATCAAAGCTCAACTTCGTGGCTTATAATGTTGAAATGTATAGCAGCCAAATGCTCTAAACGCATGTTTCAAAATGTGGAGGAAAAAATCGGAGGACCAGGAGAAAAATCCACGAGACCATGGGGTGAACACGCACACTCCAAATATACAGGCATTGGGGGTCTGGATCGAACTCAGAGCCTCCTACATACCGGGCGAAGTAGTTTAACATCTCACCACCGTGGTGCCCCAATCTGAAGACCGTGTATTAAACGTTTAACTGAGAAGTCGACTGGCCGCCCCATGAAACCGGGGGATGATAAAATAACTCCACAATTTTAAAGAAAGAGAGTAAATGGTAATAAATACTGCAATTTCAGCCATCTGTCCCTTAGGCTTCTCACGCGAGCGATCTCGCTCCAATAACCAGGTCCGTTCGTCAGGTCACGCCCTTCTCGAGAAACAAAATTAGTGTTTCTGAAAGGCGTTTTCTTTGCAGAGTTTTTACGCCTTGCTCATTCTTGAACTACTTTCGATTATTGAGAAACCCCACACGCATGCAGAGCAGGGGGGGGGGG